TTTTTTATAATACGTTTATTTTATTCTAATTTCTTTAAGACTACGATAATATACTGGTCGGCAAGAGAAAATCTTGGGTCGTTTATTTTAGTCATCATTACTACATGTCTAGAAGTGAATTGCTATGGCAATCTTGTAAGTCGGGGAGAGAAAATTATTACCTATCCACTTAATCCGGAGCTCAACTTCATACGCTTGGGAAAATTCTTGCTCTTTCTCTTTGTTCATTTATACAATCACAGAGTCTATAGACTCTGTGCACGACAATCGGCACCCAAAGCCGTGTGTACATTATCGGTTATATCATTAAATAAACTAACCAAAAAATATGCTGTATTACGTAGTAAATAGTGCAAATTCTATTGTCGACCATTCTAATCAGTATTAAATAATAATGGAGTGAGCCAGTGTGAAGTGAGACATTAAATGATTGATCTTTTGTTAAATTACGTGGTATAACTTAACACAATGATGAATCGTTTAATGTTTCATATGCACCTCCATAATTATTTAATCTGTAATCATACTGATTACATTGTTCGACAACAGAATTTGCGCTTTTAGTACGTTTTGGAATTAATAGATTATCTGTCTTATTATGCAACTAGGGATGTACGTGTCTACGTAATAGAGCATCAGCATCTCTCTCAATATATCGTATTGTACTGAACACGTTGACACACGAGAATCAGCAACCAAAGCCGTGTGTACGCTTCATTAAATAAACTAACCAAAAAACATGCTCTATTACGTAGTTACGTACATCCTCAGTTACATAATAGGACCGATAATCAATTAATTACATAATGTTGTAAATATCACAAATTCTATTGTCGACCGATCCGGATTAAGTGGATAGGTAATAAACTTCTCATTTTTCTCCCGTATTTTATAGTCTTTTCTCCTTCAGTATATCGTATTGTACTGAACAAACGTTGACTTTATTCTTCATGCACACGACAATCGGCATACAAAGCCGTACGTTATACGTTTTATTAAATAAATTAACCTTTTTGTTTATTTATTAGTTCGTTTATGCTTTATTTAATGATTGATATTATTTTGTTAAGTTATACCACCAAGTGCTATAAACTAGTACAAAATTAAAAAAGTTAATTTTAAGTAAAGTTCTTTGAAATATATCTATATTACTATTATGAATGAGAACTCTTATCGATTTTTAATTTGGAATTATATTAATTGCCATGTGTCATGTTTTTATTATTATTGTCAATTTTCTGCGGATAGCTGATAAATTAATCTATTGTCAATTCAATATGATTATAATATGATGTTCAAATACCATTTTGTTATTCATAAAAACGGCCTTTTTATTACTTCTCTTTCATACTGATCCATCAATAAATATTTCTTACGTGTTGCAGCAGACGAGCAAAATTTATTAATTTTAGGGTCCTTTATATTTACTCATCCCTGATTCCATCCAATTATGGCCGCTGATGAAGCGGGAGGTAGACGTTCGCTTTCGGTCATAGGCGTACTGAAAACTAAAATTTCTTATCCTCGTATTCAGAATTATAAATAGCAATAAAAAGGATAAAGATAAGTAAAACTTTATACTGATAAGTTTGCTGTACCGATATTAAAAAAATTGGTAGTAGGAAATATTATTTCATAATATTATGACATGATAATGTTATAATGTAATACTATAAAGTAAAGTAAAAGATTTGAAGTTCCCTTTTTGCTGCCAGGGCTAATTTGGACGGGGCCTACGGAGCAAGTTTCTAAATCGACTCTTACTCACGAGATATCCGATCTCATCCGGCCTCGAACCGGCGTGAATGAGCAGTGTGTGACAATATATTTTACACTTTTGCCTTTATTGGACAACAGCACGATACAGAATTTCGAACTGGTCACCCGTCTATCCACTAGTATCGCCTTACGTCGCTTAACTTCGGTGTTTTAATGTGGTGTTTCGACGTAGCTGGACCGTTGGTTGCCCGTAATACTATAGCTACAACCGTTATAACACTAGTTATACCACCCTGCATAAATTCAGCATATAAATAAGTAATTTATTTCACACCCCTTAAAGTGTAGCACAATTAGAATCATAAAAACGATGCCACTTAACAGTTATATAATGTTTATAATGTTAATTTTAAAGGTCGTTTTACATAAAAATTGTTTATCTGTTTTTATTTATGATACAAAACCCGCTTGATCATAAAACTTTTTGATCATGTCGATGAGTTTTTTTATATTGAGTATGTATGGGGCTTAAGAAGCAGCGTGGTGAAGGCGTTGTTCCACTGTTTGCATCTTAAACATTGTCAGCTGTCATAAAAAGATTATTATTAAAATTCTAATAAATTAAATTTTACAGAATTCATAAGCAAAACTTTTAAACTAAAATTGGCTGTAATACTAAATCTAAAAGAAAATAAAATATTAGTACGCCTATGACTCAAGAGTTTGGTTTGGTTTGGTGGCGACACGTGCGAAGAGATATGCATGGCTTCCACATTTCGAGAGGCGGGGTGAGACCAATCAGCTAAGACAAATCAAGTGGTTGGAAAGAATATGGCCGTAGATGCCAGGTCTAGGAAATATTCCCTAACATTAAGGTTTCTATCCAGGAAATACATTTTTAGAAATCATATTTTTGGACACAATTTAGTGTGTGTATTTAATATGTTTCCTCAAACTTGGCATTTCTAAAAGTATCATCAGATAAATATTTTAAAAGAATATTTTTTTGTTGGTAGATTGACCGTGCCAACCAGGCTTCAAAATTTTCAAAACTTCATCTGGCAACACTGACAGTATCGAAGTCCTAGAACGGTAGACATACTTTGACACATTTATCAAATCAGTCGGATTTTGAAAGGGGTTGAGTGTACACCATTCTACAATATATTTACGATTTTGAAGGTTATCCATACATCTCGAGACGTTTAATCTTTTAACAATAAAAAATAATTAAACGTCCGGTTGTATCTACACTGCTCATGTGTTTTGTTGCTGTTTCAGCATAAGTTAAAACAAGCATTAAAAAAATGACTAAAAATCAACTTTAAAAAGGACAATTAGCAAAATAATTATAAAAAATTAAATCAAAGGTTCAAAAATACCTCTCCTGTTGTGCTTCGCAATAGCCAAAACGGTTATAAAACTCTGACCTAACATTAGCTAACATAACAGCGGGATATTTTCTAACGACTGAACGATTTTAATCGCAGCCGTCAATATTCATGGGTCGTTCATGGTTATGGCCATAAATGGAGTTTTTTACATATCCCCACAGAAAGAAGTCATTGGGCGACAAATCAGGAGAACGTGGTGGCCAATTAATTTTGCCTTGTGTGGAAATTAGCCGATTGGGAAATGTGGTTTGAAGGAACAGATTTACGTTCCGCGCGTTATGCGCAGGACAGCCATCCTGCTGAAACCACACTTCCTCAAAATTGATTGGCAAATTTCGAACTGCTGGTACAATTTGGTTTTGTAGCATATCCAAATATTTGGCAGCTATTAACATACCATCAATAAAAAAAGGCCCAATGATATGATTTTGCAGCATGCCAGCCCAAACATTTAGTTTTTGTGGATATTGTGTCCGCAGTGCCATACTAAGGTGCTTATTTTCTCGAGACCAATAACGTACTATCGAAGGATTGTGGTAGCCATGTAAGGGAAACGAGCTTTCAGCTGAGAATAATATATTTTCCAAAAATAAATTATTCCGATCGGCTCTTTCTCTTACAGCCTCGCAAAACTCCAGACGTCTGTTACAATCTGCGGGAAAAATTTCTTGCGTGGTACTGATTTTGTAGGACTTATATCCATGCTTTTTTAAAACCCTGCGAACCGTTCGAGCATTGCAACCAACTTGTTCGGCTATATTTCGGCTTGAACAAGGTTCGCTTGTTTCGACAGCGGCACAAATATTAATTTCCTTGTCGGGAATTACCTTCTCTGCGCCTTCCTTATTGTCACAATTTCTGCACGCCGCAATGCAGCCTGTTTGCTCAAATTTATGAACAATGTTGCGTACAGTTGTGGCATAAGGCACAGGGCGATCTTGAAAGGTGAACACATAACGCCCAATGACCTCTTCCACACTTGAGGAAATGTAAAACCATTTAACGATATGCACCTTCTCTTCGGTCGTATAAATAGCCATTTTTGAAACACTTAACGTACACACCGAAACAGCTAGGCGAAAAGAATGATGCAAAAATAGTTTGGATCTCAGGTGATCTATTTCCTTTCCCCACCTTTTCATCTACATAAAGGTGCGTATTCACTATCCGAACGAACGAATGCTACTATCCAACGAGCGAACGTCCAGTCTTGTTCGCGCGGTTCTATAATTCTCATTCGTTTGCGAACGTCTTTGATATACCGAATGGAAACAGATGAGGGAGCGAACCGAATGGCGAACGGCCGCATGCATTCGGTTTGCTGTCCAAATATACCGAATTTCATTCCTTTGTTCTTTCGGATAGTGAATACGAACCTTAACATAAAGCACCGCCCCTCTCAATGCGTTCTCCCACCATGCTTATGCTTTACCTTGCCCACACCCGTAAAAACCGGCAACACTAGTAGCCGGTCGCACCGGCTTCTCGCCGGCCCCTTTTGATGCTGTCTCTCTGTCTGTCAACCGGTCATTTATATTATTCTCTGTCTTACACATTAAAATCCTATACACAGTAATCAAATGACCAGGTCGGTATATGTTGCCCTGTTATAAGATGGTTTTTATTGTCCTATTATCAACGTACCGAATATGTCCTACAAACAAATTCATTGGAAGACTAAATTAGTCCCATCTTTTGGTATGTCGCACTGTACACAAGAAAACACCTTTTGCATTTATAATGAGGGTCTTGTGCTATCAGGCTTTTAGAAAAACACTATAGATTCCTTCAAAATGACAGCACGATTTTGAGTTGGTTCGCAAAATTAAAGTATCCGTTTTAGCCGCAACAAGCTTTATTTGCAAAAAATCTAAAAGAAATGCTTACCATAATCTGCCGGGTTATGGTAACTGGGGCAATGAAGACCCATACTGGATAGGAAAGGTACTAGATTCATAACGGGTCCTCTATAAATGCACTGGCCTTCTGCTAACATATACAGATGATCAAACATTTCAAAAAGCCTAGCCGAGGGCTGATGAATGGTACATATAATCGTTCTGCCACCTCTAGCGAGAGATTTCAGTAAACACAGACACTGAAAAATTAATCAAATTATTCTACTAATTATTAAATAACAAATAAGTATAAGCAAAATAAGTAAAATTTTAAACCGACGAAAGTTAAAAAAGTTAGTCCAAAACTTCACAAACATTGACACTTATTCATGTTAAAATCATTTTGTTTTATGAAAGTCCAGCAGAAATATTACATAAAACAAACGATTTATTTTTCTCTGAAAGTCAAATAGGTGAGACGTATTTTTCGAGCAGACAGTACTTTCATATATACAAAGACATATAAATCATACCAAATAAACTTTTAGTCACGTGATTAAGCTTAACCGGCACAGCGTTGCTCACTTTTACGCATTTTGTTTTAATCAAAATAGTTTAGAAAACAAAAATAAATTAATTATAAATATACAGGGTTGTTCACCACATACGACACGGAGTATTGTAGCTAAATGATTAGATTTTTAGAAATTGTAGGTTTTGGGTTCGTTGAAGGACTATTAGAGCTACAATTTAAAAATATTTTAGATAAGATACAGAGTGTCCAAAATAAATATAAAATATCAAAGGTGTATTTTTTTAAATGGAACACCCTGTATATTATTACATTTTTAGTTTCTACGATTAAAATAAAGGTAAATTTGATTAAGGTTTATTACACTTAAACCTTACCGTTTTTGAAATATTTTCAATTTTGTGAAATTGCAGTAAAAATTTTACGGCTTCATTTCTCCAAGAGTATCAAACTTTTTAATACTAAATATTTACTGAAGTCTATTTATTGATCAGTTATTGTGTTGCAATAATAAAAATAATACTACCTCATACAGAGTGTCTAAAAATTTAAACGGCAATAACTTGTTTAATTTAAATGGAACGCCCTGTATATTTTAGGAGAATCAGATGCACAATTTAATTGTCTATCAAATTGTATTATGCCATTTTTTACCTATCCCTTCAAGTTTTCCTAGAAAATACATTTTCTTATAATATAGAACTCATTTATCAATATACCCATGGAATATTGACATTTTAGATTGTTTTTAAAGCAGCAAATGTACAAAATGTACGGGCTAGTAATATTATCGTTTTTAGCAAAATGATAATATTACTAGCCCATTTGTATGCAAAAAGAATACTATTTAAATCTTTATAAAACAGTATACCATTAATTAAACATACCACCATTATTTCCGCCTAAAAACTAATTAATTACATCCTTAATTATGTACGTTAATAAATTATTCTAAATAAATGTGGATTTGAATCAGACATCCATATAATAATAAGTTATGAAAATGAATGTTTCTGTTGTTATAAATAAGCATTTGTCAAAAAATGAAATATCATTTTTAAGGTGTTACTTTTTACCACACTGTCTAATACACATACGAAATTCAGTTTTTTAGTATTTGGAGCAATTATTATTAATCAACGCAAACAGTCAATTAATGTAGTTTGAATACTGGAATCATATTAATTGGTCCTCTTTAACAAATATTTAAACAGTTTTTTTTTATTTTTTAATGAAATAAACACACTATATCGACAATATTAGTATCTGTACTCTTTAAAAATTTGGTACATCTTTAAAAATAATCTAAAATGTCAGTATTCCATGGGTATATTGATAAATGAGTTCTAAATTACAAGAAAATGTATTTTCTACGGAAACTTGAAGAGATGGGTAAAAAATGGTATAATATAATTTGATAGACAATTAAATTGTGCATCTGATTCTCATAAAATATACAGGGTGTTCCCTTTAAATTAAACAAGTTATGGCCGTTTAAAGCTAGTAATTATTTAAAATAAAATTTTAGACACTCTGTATAAGGTAGTATAAATTTTATTATTGCAACACAATAACTGATCAATAAATAAACTTCAGTAAATATTTAGTATTAAAAACTTTGATACCCTTGGGGAAATGAAGCCTTAAAATTTTTACTGCAATTTCTCAAAATTGAAAATATTTAAAAAACGGTAAGGTTTAAGTGTAATAAACCTTAATCAATTTTACCTTTATTTTAGTCTTAGAAACTAAAAATGTAGTAATATACAGGGTGTTCCATTTAAAAAATACAACTTTTTTATATTTTTTATTTATTTGAGACACTCTGTATCTTGTAAAAATATTTTTGAATTGTAGCTCTAATAGTCCTTCAACGAACCCAAAACTTACAATTTGTAAAAATTAATCGTTTAGCTACAATACTTCGTGTCGTATGTGGTGAACAACCCTGTATAAACAGATATTATTTACATATATATTCATACATGTTCAACTGCAAGGTCTGTTAGTAAAAATTTTTAAGCATAAAGTATCACAACACAATTCATTTAAACAACTGCATACAGAACTAAAGCGTTAAAACGAATGACAATGTCAGGAAATAAATAAATAAATGCTGCAACGTGACATTTTTTACAGCAGAGCTACCACCTGAATCGCCAGCGGGAAATTTAAATTCCAGTTAGTCAGCCCAGCGCCAAATACGTCCATGGTTGGCAACAATCAATTTAAAAATAGCGCCCTCGATGACGTAACTAAAAGTTTAATTGGTATTGCTTGTATATTTTTAACCGTGAAATATTACGATAATGATGAAGTACCTGAAAACATGAAGAACTATCTAAGCCGCTAGTCGGCTCATCGAAAAACATTACTGGGGGGTTATTAACTAATTCCAGAGCAATGGATAGTCGTTTTCTTTGGCCTCCAGATAAACAAGCTGACGCTGTGTCTACACAATCTTGCAATCCTAAAAATATGTTGTTTATTGGCATAGATTCCAGACATTTCGACATCTAGTATTGATTTATTTTTGCCGCCTTTAATATTATCATGCATTTATTGATTCAAATTATTGTCAAAAATATAATTTGGTAACAATCATTGATAACTTATTTTTAAATTATAATAAAACTGTTATTAAGAAATATATTAGTTTAATATTAACTTTTATTTAATACCAATTTTTTTCCTTTTAAGTGTTTTCATTTAGTAGCAATTAGAATTAATTAATTCTGCAATTCTTAATTAATATTGGAATCGCAAAACATTTTCCGATGCACGTCATCAATCATATCGACATTGACACTACGACTCTATAAACTTGACTAAATGAAATTTTGGCAAAAATGTTTAAATTTGTTGTAAAATTGAAGATACCGGGCAGCTCTTCATTTTACTTTATAGAGCAAATGATCGTAACAGATATTTAATTTGGAGTAACGCTGCAAAAATTAGTTTAAACCGAATTTTATTATGGCTATGTTGACCACATTGCGCCGTTTTCAGCAAGGTTGTCGTTTATTATTTGACAATTATCCTAATGTTAGCCATTATTTTGTATATAGTTTAGCCATATTTTCATAGTTTTTTTTTTAATTGAAATTTTAAGTACAAACAGTTCTTTTAAGAACTAAATGTTCAAGTTTTTGTATTGCATTTCTTGAAATTGTGTGTTGAAAATATGCTGAAGCATTTAAACAATCGAAGCAAAGAGCTTTTAGCTTCCCTGATATACTATTTTGGACGTGACAATGAAGGTCCTTTATTACCCCTGACTGCAGTCAGAGAAGTAAGTTTGATTGATAAGCACATTACACCACTTTCAAAGCTATTTCTACGTTAGTTTTTATTAAATTCTGTGATTGTTAGTTTGTGCATTAATAGCACCCTCTTACTTGATATTTCTACTTATGGCGTTGTAAGATGTACATACATCAATAAATAAATAAATAACCCATAATAACGCTTAGAATAATCTTCATAATGGACTAGTTTTTGCCAATTTGTAATAAGTAAAATAAGCTATAAGACAAAGTCACTTTTAAATTAAGATTCATCTCATAAATCCATCACAATCTGGCAGCGCTGTCGCCATCGCTTGTCACTCAAAATTGATCACGTGCATCGGAAATTGTTTTGCGATTACCATATCTGATAATATAAGATAAACAATAATATTTAGCGAGATTTACCTAGAGCCTCTATAATTTCCATAATAATTATTTTCTTCTCTGAATGACTCTTACTTTTGCCAACTTTGAGATTGGCAGATACTGTCATGGCTTCTTTTACAGTCAGGTGGGGCGACAAACAGTCATCTTGCATTATGTAGCAAGACATTTTTCTAAACCTACGCAGACTACGTTCTTTGCCGTTGATCAGGACGGACCCTTCGAGATTCGATATTCTGAAAATATTTCTAAATTAGGGCCCAATTTTATACAATAAAAGTACACGTTAAAATTAATGCTAAGTTTAAAGTTAAATTTAAAATGATTGTTTTCTTTTTTAATATAATTTATACCTTTCAGTTAACTAAGCAGATTAGCTAACTTCGTGAGAAACCGATATATGAATAATTCTAGAACTAAAGCTTGATTTTCATGCATCCGTTATCCGAAGATACGATGATACGATATTAATTTTATTGGTTGAATTTAAAGATTTCTATTGGTTAGAAAATTAGGCAATTTTTAAATTTATTCCATTTTCATGTTTGTGATTGGTGGCATTTTATATTTTCATTTCCATAACGATTTTGCTGTTTAACTTATTAAGAGCTGGCAACGTTTTCGAGAGAGAATTTTAAGAAAGCTGGTTCTTTAATATATCTTTTGCTAAGCTCTCCTGAACAGAGCGCGAACCGTCTGGCTGCCCATAGACGTTGCATTATTCACTACTGCGCATCATATCTGTATTCAACATCTATTCACTACTGCGCATCACAAATTCGCCCCGTATTTCAGGAACTAAGGAGGCTAGGACAATCATGTGTGTAACATATTTAGTTTCATTAAAAAGTATCAAAATAATGTAAAAATTCTCGTTTTCCTGGCGTTCCTAGCTCTTGTACTATTATATTTTTATTAAGGTTAGGTTAAATGTGTCAAAAAGTGTTAAAACCTCCTTTATTGTACGATCTTTCTCCATTGACGGGCTGGAGTAAAAAATTTAAAGATGAAAAGTGGCGCGAAAACGCTATGACCAATCAGAGCGCCGGCGCCGTCGAACCATCGTATCAACGCTTTACTCATTAACTTTTTTTTCTATTTTAATATGACTAAAAAATATCAAAGCAGAAAAAAATACGAATAAATTATTGTATAAAGGAATGATTGAGTTTCTTAAGAAACGTCCGTTACTTTATTAATTTCAATTTAAAATAAGAAAGATGCTACCATTTTTCAAATGATGCGCCAACATTGTAACGCTGAAAATATTTTAGATAGATCGAGCAGGTGCCTTTTTCTAAAAATCCAAAAATGTTCAAAAAAATTCTATCGTCCCTATATAAAAAATACGTCGTTTACAAATTTTCGGAAATTTTATATAAATAATTGTGTAATATTTATAGTAGAGAGAATGAATAAAAAAGACAATATCACTTAAAAAAGTAACAAAACTGGAAGATTACTTTTTGCCATCCGTGAGTTAAAACTTATTAAATTTTATTTTTTAAACGCTTTCTTCCATTCTCCTCGGAAAACTTACTTGTAGCCGGCTAAAATATTCATCAGGGTACTTTTGCCCGCTCCTGAAGGCCCCATGATACCCGTCAGCTCGCCAGATCGAAACTTTCCATTCACCCCTTTAAGAATCGTCTTGTATCCCCTTCTTCTGCCCTCGGACACAGAATATGACAGATCTACAAGAACAATAAAATACTTAATATTATCAACAAATATTGCAATATACTAGGGTCGGCAAAGTGATATGGAGTCGAGATTAATTTATAATGTACTGAATAAAGAGAGAACAATAAAAACGTTGCCAAACGTATGAAATAAACCGAGTAACTTTGCACATTGCTAAGAGACGTGGAAGGGGATAAGGCAGCTTCGTCGCGTCGCGTCGTCTTGAAATTCAAATCCAGTACTTTATTAACAAATAGTTGTCGCGCTATTAGAACTTGAACTAGAATTCAAATATCAATATCTCGAAATCCATTAGAAATAATTGGTTGTAGTTTTTTTAAGCTTTCTTAATGTTTCTGTTATATTTTCTTCGCAGACAGTATCTAAAAATATTTACAAATAAAAAAGTTACACGATTGCTGAAAATTGCTATGCACTGAAATAAAATGGACGCGTTTTTCTTGAACTTCTTGAACAGAAAATAAACAAACCTGACAAATTTTTCTCATTTAAACATCTTGTCAAAGATCCGAACTTCAAAATAAAAAAAAGAAAGTTTCAATATCTAAAGTAGTTTTTGAGTCATCGCGTGTCATGTGTTAAAAAGTTAAGTTTTCAGATTACCGCGATTACTGACGTTTTTTCATTATAAAAGAATGGTTACCCTAACGATATTCTTATAACTTGATATCAGATGCCCAGAAACATATCTAATGATTTTATGTAGTTATCTTTCCGCAAAATAAAAAGACTTAAAAATAAGCGCCTTTCGACGGTGATTTTATTCCACTAGACAGACAGGGAAAAGGCGTACTAGTATTTCAGAGAAATGTGGCAACGCCGCAACAACACACCGTCGCATTTTTCTCACTCCGACTTAAAATCCTTAAGCGACTCACTTCCACACATGTAAATACCGACCCAAAAAAAATAGTTGCCAGCGTGACTATATGTAATAATATAAACAATCAAGTAGAGAACAATTTTAAACAGAACATCATTACTTCAACCTCTGGTGACAAGTATTTTGTAAACATATTATACGATTTATAAGCATAAGCATGTTACAATCGAGAAAAATACTTACATGTGGCGTCATTGAAAGAAGGGGATTTTTATTTATGAATTTAGGTAAAATTTCAGTTTGGCGTTAGTGTTTACTTAAAAATATATTAAACACGACAAAATAAATACATCATACAGGGTGAGTCATGAGAATAAGTGCAATATTTTTTACCACAAACACGATTATGAGGTTTTTTTTCGCGAAAAAAAGTTGAAAGTTTGGAATTTTCTTTATTTTTTAGTTAAAAAATATAATTTCTTGATAATATGGCAACATAGGTAGTAGATTAACATTTTTACAAGAAAGAAAACCCAGAAAAGATCCAGTGGTTCTCAAAATTAAAACAAAAAATCATTTTTTTTTTAATTTCTACGAGCCCTGGAAATATTTACACTTATTTAAGACTCACCCTGCATAGTCCGTTAAATTTTTTTGAATTAACAGTTTTTAAAGAATAATTATAGTTTATCCTTTAAAAAATTGACACAAAAAAAGTGAGGCAAAGTAAAAATAACTTCCCCATTTATCCAGATGGTATCATGAAATTAGATATGCTATTAAATGTCAAAATCTATTTTCCTTAGCCTACACAAAGAACTGTTTTGTTTAGACATTGCCTCTATACCGGCTGAGTCTTAAAAAAAATGTAAACATTTTTAGAGATGGCATATTTCGACCCCAGGAACACGTCTATATGTTTTTTTCGCAAAAAAGATGTTGAAAACCGTGCATTTTCTATTAAATTTTCCTGTCATAACTGCCTATTTATAATAATAGTAATAGCTCCCGTATATAGCGTTTAACGCCTTGGGAGTAGCAAGGTACAGTTTGCTATACTAGAGCCGTTCGGTATACAAGGAAGGTAATGTGGCTAGCACTACGTTTCAACCGCCTATTATTACCTCAGGATTGTGAATCCCAAGTACTCATTTAAGGCTGAGTCGACCTAGGTACCCAAACTATTTTTATTTTAATAAAAATAGTCGGCTGATGAAATGCCGGGTGTGGGAATCGAACCCACACCTTGAGATTGGTAGACGAGAGCCTGTACCTCTACGCCACCGGGCACCCCATAACTGCCTATTTACCCGCACATTTTCCCACGGTTTAATTTCTTAATCACCACAGATTATACAGATATTACCACAGATTATACAGATTATAATCTTTGTTTTTTCTTTATTGTTTTTCGTGGTTCCAATTTTCGGAATCGGGCACTAGTTAGGTTACTAGTTTGCGCACATAGCACGCCCACTTATGGCCTCTAAAATTGTGCACAGCGCCTGACCGGCACAGTTATTAGAGAGATATCGGAAAACCGAATAGCGTCATCCAGTATTTACGCGTACCTTTATCATGGTTACGATATGCGCGAGTCAATTTTTAACGCAACACCCGCTAATAACGTTACCGCTTGACGTAATTTGCGGATCAATTACACCAAGCGCTCTTTCTAAATAACCTCTGATAACGTTTAAAAATTGCTTAAATGGGCATGTGCGGGTATTTGACAACCGGAGCCGGCCGGCGAGATCTTTTATTTTAGGTTATGTTTGAATTGTTTTGAATTATTGCTTTAGTTTTATTAGGTAATTTGATATTTAAGTAGCTGGGATTAGTTTTAATTAAATAAATATGGCCCAAAATATGGATTCCACCTCTTCCAATACTAAAGAACCTATAAAGAGTCTTAGGTTTACAGCAGATGACGACTTAGCCCTTCTAAGAGAATTTGTTGCCTGTTGCCCTAAACCCACTGGCAGACGTTGAACAATAAAGCACAAGAAATAAGCACTTTTAAAATACCTAGTAAAGAAAACAATTTCAAGTTTTATTTCAAAAACAAAAAAAGTTTTAAATTCAAAGTTAGGTTAAGTTTAAATAGCGGACGCGACGCGATCAGAATTCTTTCCGATCCGATAACTATAAATGAAGAGAGTTAATACCACCTCACGTAAAGGTAATAACACCTGACCTTATTAACGTCCATGCACGCTATTCGGTTTAACAATATCTCTCTATTACGCTGTTTATTGTTATTTTACGCGAGTTTATTTTTGCGCACAGGAAATTTGACTCGTTTGCACATCGTCATAAAAAACAATTTTCATACCACGAATTAGGCACAAGATTTTTATCTGTATACTTATAGGATACCTAATCTGTGATATTACCATGGTTACAGTTTTACTCTATGGTTACGGCACTAAAAGGGATGTAAATACAGAAAAAATCTGGTGGCTCTCAATTTTTTTTTAATAAATCTCAATAATTTTTTTTTATTTTCAAACTTGAATAACTCGGTCATTTCGGACTCATTTGAAAAAAGGCAAAGAGAAAATGAAAATATATTTCTTTTATCGGGATCTGCCAGCCCTGAAAATATTTGCACTTATTTAAGACTCACCCTGTATAGTCTCTGATTAAATTAAAATGAAGGTATTAAAAAAAATGTTTAACAAGCTTACTACTCTAGGGCGCCTGATTTTTAAAGGAAATATAAACTTCAGTAATAATTAGAGAGAGAAAATGTATAGAATAGATGGTCACCTCTACCGGGCGTTCCTCGAAAGTTGCCCACCCCTATAACTTTTTTATTTTTTTTAGTTAAAAAAACGAGATTTGGCATATTAGTATATGACATAAATTAGGATTGATTGACGTATTCAATTATTTTTGACCACTTCCTGTTTCACCGAAAATGACTACAACTTTTATTTTTAAATGGCACTATTGGTACTATAGTTTAACTAGATATTTTTTTATAAATTTTATAATTATTATTTTATACTTTACATTATTTGTATTATTTTATAATTTCATAGTTTTTCTAGTGTAGAATAGTGTATAACTATTTTTAATTAAAAATAACCCTCTAAAAATATTGTACTTTAAAAAATCATCGATATACTCACCTATAAATTGAATATCTACAGGAGGTCGTTTTGACAAATGAGTTAATGTAATATTTGGTTTTTTTGAATTGTTGGCTGGGCTATTGTTAGGTACCTTTCGTAAGGTACCGCCTCTTGAAATAGCCGCAGATTGTCCATTACAAAGATTTGTTTGAGAACCACTGAAATACAAAAAAAATATATTATTAAAAATATTGCGAAGACAAACATACAGGGTGGTCCGAATTGTATTCCGGAAACTTCGGCAGCATATTCTGCAGATAAAAATATATAAAAAAGTTCGTATTAATGTATGTCCTAAAATGTTTAGTTTCGGAGATACAGGGTGTAGAAATTTCATTTTTATTTCGATTTTTTCCAAATATTTTGTGAAGTAACATCAATATTTGGATGAAAATTGGTGTATGGAAGTTTTTTTGACATGAGAAATTTGATTTTGATGTCAATATGACTCCTATTTGTAGGGGGCGCCACCTACACGTATTTTAACTGTTTTGACGAGTAATAACTTTTCGTCCGTACCTGTATAAAACTACTGAGTGAAAAAATATACATTTCCGCCATTTTTTACGTAAAAAATGTCTCTTGGTAAAAATCGCTACGAGCAACCGTTCTCAAGATATTTAGAATGGGAACAGTCAATACATGTCATTATTGACAAAAAATAAACGTATATAAATGTTAAGTAGATAGTTATTTGACTAAAATTATAAATTTGGGAACTTTTTATTTTTTTAAATTAATCATAAATTTTTCTTCGAAAAAATGATGATAAAACAGTTTCTGTTGAACTTTTGGCACAAAAACATTTCAAATTTATGATTTCAGTCGAATAACTATTTAGTTAACATGTTTAATTTATGTCAATGATGACAGGTATTGATAAATTCGATTCCAAATATCTCGAAAACCATTACTCGTAACGATTTTTACCAAGAGACTTTTTTACTCAGTAGTTTTATGCCGGTACGGACGAAAAGTTATTACTCTTCAAACTAGTTAAAAAATATGTAGGTGGCGCCCTCTACAAGTAGGAGTCCTACTAACATCAAAATCAAATTTCTCATATCAAAAAACTCCTAGACACCAATTTTCATCCGAATATTGATGTTACTTCATAAATTATTTGGGAAAAATCGAAATAAAAATGAAACTTCTACACCCTGTATTTCCGAAACTAAGCATTTTAGGACATACATTTATACGAACTTTTTTACGTATTTTTATCTGCAGAATATGCTGCCGAAGTTTCCGGAATACCATTCGGACCACCCTGTATATCATTTATGAACTGAATATAACCTTTGTGAGAGAGAGAGATAAGTACCAGGATACACGAAATCATAAATTCATTTTGCAATTTATCATATTATCACAAGAATTCCAATAAATTCTGTTTAAAAAACATCATTTATACTATTTATGTCAAATTTTTAATAATTTATAATGAATGAACTTTCATATAAAATAAATAAATGCCCAGATTTTAATACGTTTTTTCATTGAGTGCAAGTCTACCCAAAAAAACATAATAATACATAATAAATAGTTGTGTAAATTATATCAGATATAATTTATGTCAATACCTATAATTATTTAAAATTAACTATAGAAATTTCTTGCTATCTAATTAACTTTTGTAGCTCCTGATTTAATTAATTATGCCTACACATTATAGATTTCGCGAGTAACTGCTCACTTGAAATGCGATATGTTAACAATAACTAATTACACAGAGAATTCTCTGGTGAAATAATTATAGAGATGCACATGTCGACAGAAAGTGGTAAACAAAAACTAATTGTGAAAAATTGTAGTAAAAAAACTTATTCATGACCGTACCAAACAATAAACTATTTATTTTTAACTAATTGTCGGTAGTGTGTAAATTAGTTGGCAGATAGTTGCTAAAAACGGATGATATATTTGCTAAAAGATATAATTTTTTTATTAGATGTAATTATTTAAATTGTTTTTCATACTACTGTTATTTCGTATATTTTTCATTTTATTGATTTTATGGAAAGCACTGTTCATTAAAATGTTGTATCCTATGTTAAAGGGCTTATTTCTCTCTATAATTTTCTGTCTCACAATGTACCGTTTGTGTCCAGGAAGAGTTCATAGCTTCATAGTTGTCGATTTTCGAAAGAAATCAGTACATGCATATTATTTCGTATATTTTTCATTTTATTGCTTTTATGGAAAGCACTGTTCATTAAAATGTTGTATCCTATGTTATAGGGCTTGTTTCTCTCTACAATTTTCTGTCTCACAATGTACCGTTTGTGTCCAGAAAGAGTTCATAGTTTCATAGTTGTCGATTTTCGAAAGAAATCAGTACATGCATATTATTTCGTATATTTTTCATTTTACTGATTTTATGAAAAGCACTGTTCATTAAAATGTTGTATCCTATGTTATAGGGCTTGTTTCTCTCCACAATTTTTTGTCTCAAAATGTACCGTTTGTGTCCAGGAAGAGTTCATAGCTTCATAGTTGTCGATTTTCGAAAGAAATCAGTACATGCATATTATTTCGTATATTTGTCATTTTACTACTTTTATGGAAAGCACTGTTCATTAAAATATTGTATCCTATGTTATAAGGCTTGTTTCTCTCTATAATTTTCTGTCTCACAATGTACCGTTTGTGTCCAGGAAGAGTTCATAGTTTCATAGTTGTCGATTTTCGAAAGAAATCAGTACATGCATATTATTTCGTGTATTTTTCATTTTACTGATTTTATGGAAAGCACTGTTCATTAAAATGTTGTATCCTATGTTATAGGGCTTATTTCTCTCTATAATTTTCTGTCTCACAATGTACCGTTTGTGTCCAGGAAGAGTTCATAGCTTCATAGTTGTCGATTTTCGAAAGAAATCAGTACATGCATATTATTTCGTATAATTTTCATTTTACTGATTTTATGGAAAGCACTGTTCATTAAAATGTTGTATCCTATGTTATAGGGCTTATTTCTCTCTACAATTTTCTGTCTCACAATGTACCGTTTGTGTCCTGGAAGAGTTCATAGATTCATAGTTGTCGATTTTCGAAAGAAATCAGTAAATGCATATTATTTCGTATATTTTTCATTTTATTGATTTTATGGAAAGCACTGTTCGTTAAAATGTTGTATCCTATGTTATAGGGCTTGTTTCTCTCTACAATTTTCTGTCTCACAATGTACCGTTTGTGTCTAGGAAGAGTTCATAGTTTCATAGTTGTTGACTTTCGAAAGAAATCAGTACATGCATATTATTTCCTATATTTTTCTTTTTATTGATTTTATGGAAAGCACTGTTCATTAAAATGTTATATCCTAGGTTATAGGGCTTGTTTCTCTCTACATTTTTCTGTCTCACAATGTACCGTTTGTGTCCAGGAAGAGTTCATAGTTTCATAGTTGTCGATTTTCGAAAGAAATCAGTACATGAATATTATTTCGTATATTTTTCATTTTATTGATTTTATGGAAAGCACTGTTCATTAAAATATTGTATTCTATGTTATAGGGCTTGTTTCTCTTTACAATTTTCTGTCTCACAATGTACCGTTTGTGTCCAGGAAGAGTTCATAGTTTCATAGTTGTCGATTTTCGAAAGAAATCAGTACATGCATATTATTTCGTATATTTTTCATTTTACTGATTTTATGAAAAGCACTGTTCATTAAAATGTTGTATCCTATGTTATCGGGCTTGTTTCTCTCTACAATTTTCTGTCTCGCAATGTACCGTTTGTGTCCAGGAAGAGTTCATAGTTTCATAGCTGTCGATTTTCGAAAGAAATCAGTACATGCATATTATTTCGTATATTTTTCATTTTATTGATTCCAGGAGCACTGTTCAGGAAAGCACTGTTCATTAAAATGTTGTATACTATGTTATAGGGCTTGTTTCTCTCTACAATATTCTGTCTCACAATGTACCGTTTGTGTCCAGGAAGAGTTCATAGTTTCATGGTTGTCGATTTTCGAAAGAAATCAGTAAATGCATATTATTTCGTATATTTTTCATTTTATTGATTTTATGGAAAGCACTGTTCATTAAAATGTTGTATCCTATGTTATAGGGCTTGTTTCTCTCTACAATTTTCTGTCTCACAATGTACCGTTTGTGTCCAGGAAGACTTCATAGTTTCAGAGTTGTCGATTTTCGAAAAAAATCAGTACATGCATATTATTTCGTATATTTTTCATTTTATTGATTTTATGGAAAGCACTGTTCATTAAAATGTTGTATCCTATGTTATAGAGCTTGTTTCTCTCTACAATTTTCTGTCTCACAATGTACCGTTTCTGTCCAGGAAGACTTCATAGTTTCAGAGTTGTCGATTTTCGAAAGAAATCAGTACATGCATATTATTTCGTATATTTTTCATTTTATTGATTTTATGGAAAGCACTGTTCATTAAAATGTTGTATCCTATGTTATAGGGCTTCTTTCTCTCTACAATTTTCTGTCTCACAATGTACCGTTTGTCTCCAGGAAGATTCATAGTTTCATAGTTGTCGATTTTCGAAAGAAATCAGTACATGCATATTATTCCGTATATTTTTCATTTTATTTATTTTATGGAAAGCACTGTTCATTAAAATGTTGTATCCTATGTTATATGGCTTGTTTCTCTCTACAATTTTCTGTCTCACAATGTACCGTTTGTGTCCAGGAAGAGTTCATAGTTTCAAAGTTGTCGATTTTCGAAAGAAATCAGTACATGCATATTATTTCGTTCTACTGTTAACTGGCATGTTTTGCCCCGATATTTGTCAAATATTATTCACAAAGTACAGTAGGCACTATTAATTCTACCAGAATTAGTAATGCCCGTATTATCTTCAAAATTTCGACTTTAAAATTCTCTTTTTAAGATACAGAATTCATACACTTTTTTTATTATTGTTGTCCACAAGTACAACTTACAGAAGTACAGCATATATAAATTCTGTAGTGCAACCGTTGATTGAAAGAAATGGGAAGATACGAAACATAATGGGCGAATTCGTGACAAGGCTGATTTGATTTTCCCTTACGTATCAAGTGGTGTACGGTGGAGACACCAATCGTTCTGCGGGCAACGCATAAAACACTATTTTCTCTAATTCGGCAAGCGAAGAGAAGACGGTGTGGAACTAAAAGCGACAGTGTTGCCATATTAAAATGTGTAATATCTGTGATACGTACAAACATAGAATAAACAACAATTAATTTTTTAAAATAGATATAGGGTTCAAGAACTTAAAATTTCCAGGGATATTTTATATAGGTACTGAATATGTCGTATAATAAAAAAAAGTCGTTTAGTTGGCTTGGAAATGACGATTATTGACATTTAACATAATATTTTACATATGAAATAAGAACGATCTTCATTTCTGACGGCGTTCTTTGTTAAGATAATTATAGAAAATCCGTATTATTAACGTACTGTACCAAAAATCCGTAAATCTACGGTTTAATCAGTAGTTCCGGCAACACTGTTTCCGGCAATCACTCACTCTGTCGACTGAAAGCAGAACTACGGTACAGTATTCTTTATCCGCTGTGCTGTAAACAAGCACAGTGTGTCAGCAGCGGCGCAGAGCTAAACTAAATCTCGAACAGGTAACGCCAGCTACATCTCGGACAGGTTTTGTAAATAAAGTTGCGCATCTTCTTACTTCTTGAATCAACGGTACAACGCAGTAGTATATACGATAGGTTTGATAGTTTATGTGCAAGCGCTTCTTGTTGAAACCAAATCTAAACATTTGTCGGGGCAAGTTAATAATATGTACAATACAGTTCATAAAAATGAAAAATAAAAATAGTTTAGATCAGAATTCCCATACATGTTTGTGAGATATAAAAAGTAACGAATACTTAAACGAACATAAAAGAAATGCAAGTTATGAGAACCTACTGGAATAATTAAAATAAATAAAAGCGGATGCTACTTTGGAATATTTAATTACAATTTTTGGGAGGGTTCTTCATCTTCGTCTAAAAAACGATCACAATTGCAGCTATTGTCCTTTTTGACAAACAAAGCCATGGTGAACAACACAAAATCAACTGAGCAACGACTTATTGTATGACAGACAACCTAGTAGTTTAAGTTTGTGGACAACAGTGCATCTGATCTGTTGTTCAAATGGCCGAATCGAATTTGTATTGTGCCTACAACTTGCAGTACCTACGATAAATCGCTATGACTTATTAATTAAAAAGCTTGGTTTCTTTTTGTTTTAACTTATAGGGAAGCGATATTTTCCCCGCTTCCATGGATGACACGGCTCTGTCCCGAAGATAGTATTGCCAACTATTTAAATTATTATTGATCGCTCTCTACTACTGTCTTGCTGCTTCAAATAAACACAGACACGCATGGCATATGTTTAAGTTTTAACAGTTAATAGTACTTTTTAAAGTATATTTAAATAGTTTTAAAATAGTGTATATTTAAAGTATTTTTGAATGAATCACTCTTTACCTCAATCCAAGAACAAAAGCGAAAAATGACAATAGTACCTAATAAAAGTATTTTAATTTAGAGTCCATTTCACTAGACCGAAAAAGTAGGAAAATAAACGTTCGGCATTTAACGTTTTATGCAAAACTGGCTAGGTATTTTTACCACAAATGAAGAAGGAATTAAAGGAAATTAAAGATAAAGGATTAGATATACTATATCAGTATTGTAGCACATTTTTAGACAACTTCTTTATTTTTGAAATTTTGATGGTCAAACATCAAAATTTTAAAAATAAAAGAAAATATTCCTTATGTTTGGACTAAATATTCTCGAAAATAAAGACTAATTTAAAATTCCGTTACAATACGGAAATAGATTGAAGTTCTGTGATTACAGTGATATTATAATTTATATGGTTTTGTAACAAATTGCTCGCTATTTTATGGCAAATGCTGAAGCTCTGCAAACCTTAATCAAGCCTTAATCAAAGCACGTGTGTTTGGAATTTTGTATGTGGCTTTACACGACAGGCTAAGCCTTAGGCAGATTTCTGAAATATAATATATATTTCCTTCGGCCACACACCCGTTTTACCCGACCCCTGAGAGCGACCCGAACAGTAAAGCGTAATAGACTCTTAACTCTGACTCATGGATCACCTGAGGATCACACTGCATAATATGCGTCTCGTTTAGATACATCTATAATTAAGTCATCACGAACCGATTAAATAAAGTTTATTTCAGCCCACTCGCTAATCTTAATTGCACGGTTTTCATTAAGTACACAATAACAAAAAGCAAAATTTATTGTGTATACATATATCATCCAGCAGTGGAACAAATGAATTGATAAGGAGGGGCAAGGTCGACATCAAGGCCAATTTAAAATAAGAAAACTGTATCATTACGTAAGACAACAATGTCAAACATGAGATAACCTCACTATGAACAATTATGTTTAAAATAATATAATCAACAACAACCGCAAATTTTCGTTTCTGACAAGTGAAGCACTCACTATGCGGAAAATGCCGGTTTTTGGTTAAATCATCAAAAGAAATATCACCAACACAATTCCAGACGAATTTCCAAATGAACAAACGAATCGCATCGACGAACCGTAGATCTCAACATACATGGGAATCTTCCTGTTGTAGGAAGGAGAGGTTATTTCCCATCCTCCTCTGACAAAAGATGTTCATCCTCTGAGGAGTAGGCATCTATCTCCTACGAGGATACACACCCTTCCAAGGTTAGGGTTTAGCCCTTCGTGTCCTTCGCAGTCGAGGATCTTGTCTCCAGCTGAGGTACCCATGAGGTAGACGCTGGAGGATCTATCTCCATTTTTTCCACCTTTTTTAAATTACTTGGTCTCTTCTTGTGACTGACCGTTGTCGGCTCGAATCTATAACAGAGAATATATCCCTCTTTCTCTATTGCATCCTTGAATTTGAGGTGAATTACACCGCAAGAGTTAGTCGGTCCACTTTTACAAAGCTCCGCATGTAGAAGAGACATGTAAGGGAGACGAGTATACAATAAATTACCCCCTGGTACCCCAAGGTTGAGACCAGTAGAGGTTCATCTTCTCTCTAGCCACGCATCCTTTTGACCTGGTCAGTAGAGGGAATTCCCGCTAGCACCTGACTAGGAGCTTCCCCACCAACGACAAGATCTCGCATCTCCTAGAGGAAGATGCGTGTATGGACGGATGAACCAATTAAATTGACGCATCGGCGCATAGTGAGTATGGAACTTGGACCCCATTGAAGCTCCATTTATAAAAACTATTAACCACCGCCACTTTACAGGTCCATTATGTGTTCCCCTTTCTTGAGTTATAACGAGTTATAACTCATCATACAGTCTCAGGGCTTTAACAAAAGCCAGTATACGAGACGACTCCACAGAGGCCATCCCTCCATCCTCGACATCAGCCGTACCAAAGTTCATGGCACGAAGGGTCGTCGTCTCGTCGCACTCAGAAACTAAACCATTCAATTCTACGTAAAAAGATGCTTTGAAAATGTTTTCATAAAAATACAAAAATTCCCATAGCAAAAAAGTTAAAGCGATTTGTTAAAAATGCACATTTTTGAAAACACCCCATAACTCCGAAAGGGTAAGAGATATGGATGTGCGGTTTTTAGTATCATGTTCTTGATAAAAATGAGCTACAGACATCGATATTATATATCTTTCTCTTTTTTTGTCTATCTCCTATAAAAAAAGGGTATTTCCTTTTAAAAGCGTCCAATTTGACCCACCCTGTACAAGTTGACATTATCGGGTTTTGCCATAGTACCACACATAATATAAGTATAGTAGGTACCTTAAATTAGAAGCAGCAGCGTTGTTCAGAGATTCGAGTTGATCCTTGGAGCTCAGAGGTGGCGACTGGACGCGACCAGTTTTCGCATGATACGTCACACTTTCCTGATCCTCTGAATCCGCATTGAGCATTGTTATTTTCACTGTGTCGCCTTCCATCGTGCTTCTGTTACAGGATCATAAAGTCAGAAATTAATAGAGGCTCTGAAATAAAAAAAAGACATTATTTTTAATTTCCAGAGAATCTTATGTAAAATTTTCATCAATCTTATCTAGTTACATTAGTTCTAGATCGAATAAAAACAGTAGATTCTATGATCCAGCGGGTTTTGACTTTGACTTTTAAGAAAATACTCATATTATTGTAGAAAGCACGCTTGATCATCAAACATTAATACCGGGTGGTCTGAAAAGTGGTTCACCCCTATAACTTTTATATTTTCTCAGATAAAAAACTAGATTTGATATGAGAGTATATTATAACATAAATTAGAATCGATTGACGGCATTCAGTTGTTTTTGGGCACTTCCTGTTTCACCGGAAATGACTACAACTTTTGATTTTTAAATGGCACCCTCGATATTTTTTACTTTATTCGATAGAAAATGACACTCTGAATAGAATGACATATCATATGTCAACTTTTTACATTTTCGCTTTAAAAAAACGTATTTTAAATTTAAATCTAGAGTGCCATGGCTGTGTTAAAACCACTATTTTTTAATCAAGGAGCCTTGGAATAATAGATTTGATCGTCTAATAGTTTTCGTGTCTTGTCCTGGCCCTGGCCCGTTAAAAGATGTCCAAGTCGTATTTTTAATCATATCTCAATGTTTTCAAACGGAACGAGGGTGGCTCATTATTATATTTAGAAAAAACATTTTTTTACGAATAATTTGGTAACACACACTTGGCATTTCACATTTGGTAACACACACTTTTCTATCGAATAAAGTAGAAATATATCGAGGGTACCATTTTAAAAGCAAAAGCTGTAGTCATTCCCGGTGAAAAAGGAAGTGACCAAAAACAATTGAATACGTCAATAAATCCTAATTTATATCATATACTAACAAACCAAATTCCTTTTTTTTATCCGAAAAAATAAAAAAGTTTTGAGTGAGTCCAGTACCATTATAAATTATTGAACATAATCAATAACAATCGTTTCTTATGGTATAACTGTAAAAAGTAATCATTTCTGAGTGTGAATAGTATCCCATCCCATTCCATCGACACAAATAAAATTATATTTAGCAGTTTCTTGTCTGACGTTTCGTTTATTGAAAACATATTTTTAGTTGGCTTTAATTTTAAATAATGAAACATTTTCTAGTTACATGCTAGTTACTATAGCTACTGTCAAACTATCAGTCAGTAAGTTGTGTTGTCTTCAAAGAAGGTACTAATTCAAGTTTTTCCTCGTAAGTAATCACTAAAAAGTACCCATTATAAACAAGATAATGATATAAACTTATTATTTTAGACTTCCGAATGGCCGATAACCCCGATAACCTAAACGTTACTATAGACGTTTCTATTGAGGAGTTGGACATTAAGGTACGTTTTCAAAAAGCACACAATTCATACAACACAATATTTAAACTCTTTTACAAGTCTTTCATCAAATCAAATTAAAAAATAATTATAAAAATAAACTTTTTAACGTATTCTAGATGAGGACAAATGCACCTAATTTTGTAGATCGGTGTAATCTTGACCTCAAGACCTCGATTTCTCATATTTTGTTAAGATACATCATTTTAGCTTTTTGATAAATAAATATAATTGGCCACATCATATTAGATTTATAACAAATTAAGTAAATTAACTAAATTATCGGTATCGAACAAAACGTCTTTTCAGACAGGGTGTTTCAATAAACATGTGCCATCATCTCTCGTGGGGAGTGGGGAGATTCCTCACGTAGAAATAAGATTTATTTTTCATATTGATCCTTCGAATCACGACAAGATCCTTGACAGTAATAGATGTGTCTGTCATTTTAATTTCAAACTAGTTTTTTTTTATTTTACAAAGAAATAAGTTGGTACAACTGGAACGCATAGCAGGAAATTAATATATTTAAAATTTGACTGACAAGTGATTACTTCAAAATATTGTGAAAAAAAGACTGTATAAAACTGAAAAAATGTAATCGAGTTATTTTATTTAAAAAAACGGTATGTGTTAATACAAAACGAACAAGAACAAAACACCACATACCAAAAAAATATAAAAAAGAACTATTTTTTACTTTCAAGCTTCAAGAAACTTCCCGCATTTATTATTATATTTATCAATATAACTTATGTACAAATACAAATTTGTAATATTCCACAGGAATAAATAAAACAACATAAATAAAATAAACTACTTTATTAATAATAACACTTACCAAATTTTATACCTAGAGGTTGATTAATTAACTTTAATATTAATTTTTTTGACATTATTTTTCTGCAGTACTAAATCCATTATTTACCTATCGTGTGATGTCGATATTTTACAGCTACTCCAGTTTTTAGTATATGTTTAGTACGATCCTTATACCACATCCGAAATGCACTTATCTACGACGAGATGGTATACAAACTTTATTGATGGTAACTTTATTGGTGTATAAAACTTTCTGCCTGGGCAGCGAGTATTAACTATAAACTGTGCTCTGGGTCTACAGTTAATTTTCCCTCGATTTTTCCTCCACTTGACTTCAAAAGACACAAAACACACGTAATAACACAAATCAAAATGCATCATCTTCCAAAACTTGAGTATTTGACATAAGTTGACACAAAATTATAACCTATAATTTGGCAAGACTATGACAATCTTCAAAAATCTAAAGGCCAGTCCATACGCATCGGCGTCCGTTTGTCGTTAATCGTTCTGTCAAACCAATAAAATTGAAATATGATCTGTCATTTTTGAAATAAACCAATAAAACTGGTTAAAAACAACAAGAGATGACGCATGACGGATTTATATTTAAACCCATCCATAGTTAACTTAAAAAATATTAGAAACTTTTTTTAGTAAAATAAATAGATTGGTATGGGACGTCATCTGCTTTTATTCCGTCATCGTCTGTCGAAATCTTACCTGAGAAAAAAAACAGAGTATACCAACATGGGTCCGATTCTGCTTTGTTTCATAGTGACAGGAGGTTGAAGTCTTAATTTTTTTTCGATTTATTATATTTTCTTCCAAATGCGCTTTTAGCGATTCGAATGAAATTTGGATGGTAGTTGCTATGCCTCCTTCCTATTTTATTTCTAAAAAATTGGCGCCGGGAGGTACGTATAGCCGCCCATACTAAAATAAGTTAATAAAAAGTTGGTAGGTAGTTCTTTTAGTTTCAGAGTAAATGAATTTTTTCAATTTTTTTTATCTCAAAAACTGCGACTTTGACTGATTTTGATGTTATTACCAATTTTGTTGCAAATATTATTCCTAATCTTAAATTGAAAACCGCGTTTCGCTAGCTACTGTAATTTTGGAGTTACGATTTTTTAAAATTTTAACCCCCTCCCATAACCCCTTAACAACCACCCACCCCACCAAAAACTAATGGCCAGATTCTCGGATGCCACAGTACTTTTGTGCCAAATTTGGTTAAAATCGGTTTAGCGATTTTTGAGTTATCGTGATACAGACGGACAGACAGACAGACAGACAGACACCATGAAGATATTTTGTATTTAGGTCATTTATGACCCAAATAACTCATTTTGCCAATCTTAATAGCCTACCATACCTATTGGTATGGTCGGCTAAAAAAATTCGACAGATTAACCGTTAAATATCAAGAGACAACTTTTAATCAGCATTGAACGTTCTGCACAATTTTTCAAAAGATAAAAATGTCAGTGGCGTACATAATTTTTTTTAGAAAAATATTCCAGTGATAACCCATATGCACGTCCCTGGTGAATGTGTCGACACTTTTTTAGTAACATTTACCCTCAAAATTTCATTGGAATCGCTAAAAGCACTTTTGGAAGAAAATCAAAATAAATTGAAAAAAGATAAAAAAAATACTTTAACCTAGCTACGAAACAAAACATAAGAACGAATACATAAACATAATAAGAAAATAAACATAGAACTTAACCTGTAGCTACGAAACAAAACATAATCGGATCTATGTTACTTAGGCTGTATTCCGTTGCAAAACCAGGCGAACCAGACCGGTAAACTACGGTAAAGAGCGGTTCCTGAAAAACATCGGTTTGATACGGAACGGTTTGGTAAAATATTGGAGACGTCAAATGTTGACGGTTTCTAAATTTCAATACCTCTATATTATAAAATGTATCTTTTATGCATTTTTAATGTACCTATTCTTTGCTTTTACGTTCGTTTGCTTCTTCTTTTCAATGGAGTTTAATATTGAAAAGTACTTTATTAATAAACTGTTAAACTCGTTAGACAGCTCAAGTGAAGATTTGCGGGTCCAATATTAAAACAGATCAATAATAAATAAACAAATCTAATCAATATTTATATTTTTATAGCTTACAAAACATTCACGATTACTTGTTGTCTTGTTTTTCATTCAAGAAATAATGGTTTCATTTCAAGAAACAATGGTTGCATGATAAGTTTAAATGGTCCTAAAAAGTCATTCTATTTAATTAACGAAATTTATTTACGTCTACTACCTCAATTACTTTTGGATGTAAGTACAAAATATTATTACAACTTTTAGAAATTTTAGAAATTAAATGAGCATTTTACTCGAACTTCCAATATCTGCTTGATTTCTGTCACATAAATGACATTAATTGACAAACAAAACCAGAAAAATCAGCCTTGTCGCGCTGGTTAGTTATAACCGAATTTTTCAGGAACCGTGTTCCGCAATAAGAAAACTTTCAGGAAACCGATAGAAACGGAACATAAAACCATAACCGAGGTAAGCAACCGAATACACCCTTAATATGAAAAACAAATTTTATTTTTATGAGGAGAATCTCCCCACGAGAGATGGCACATGTTTTTTCAAACACCCCCGTATATTATTTTTATTTTCTTTAAATTCTAATTTAGGTATTGTATAATGGCGTGATGTATTAATATTCGAACCAGTTTTGACTAAATGTGAAAGTCTTCGGATTATTCCTTTCCAATAGTTAAATATTAACGTTAGGTACGTTACTGTAAAGTTTAAAAGTCAGCCGTTCTACCAGCTATTATACAC